TATTTTATTATGAGATTAAAATTATGTTAATCAGTTGTCTATTAGATGCTTATTGTATGCTTCTAGCTTCGCTACACTTTATCACATTTCATTCTCTCAATAATGTACAAGGCACCGAGGCAGAAATGAGGTCACCAATGAGAAAGCTTGCTCAGGGGGTCAACCGAGCCACACTGTCCAAGCCACACTGTGGTAGGGCTGGGACATCATCCTGACCTTTCTAGTACAAAGGACAAGATCTTTTAACCAAGGAGTGTAGTCTTTGGAGAAAATTTACCGAAATGCTGGTCTGTTGAGCTGACTTTTATATTCAATATAGCAACTTTAAAGTATTTAACACAGAAAGGCCACTTAACTACAGCTATGACACAAAGCTGTGGAAATATAATGGAGAATTAGATTTCTATTTCATAGTCTTTCTCTCCTTGTGTTCAAACTCAATAATTGATTTAAATATAAGCAATAATATTTTATAAGGGAGAGAAATCATCATACTGTGTATATGTAATATACAATAGTGTATGGATCCTATCATAAACACTAAAGGAAAAACTTACAGAATTGCTAATTGCATATTCCATACTATATAAAGTCCAGATTTCCCTTATGATGCAAACTTATAACTTGAGTAGGATAAATGTAGTCTTAAATAATGTGGTTTTGGGAAAATAGAAGATTCAATGACAACTTTTAAGGGCATTTATTGTTATATTATGGTTATTGTCATTTGCATACAAACATGGGAAAAGAACAAAAGCTTCATTTAATTTTCTCCTTGTTTTTTCTTGACTGACTGCCACTAGTTATAAATTTCAAACAGTCCTAAAAGAGCTAATTAATCCCACTTTTCATAAAGCTGTGTCCCTGGATCAATTATCGTACTACACGAGAAGATTTTCTATTACTAGTGATAGTATAGAAACAGCAGAATATTGCAGCTTTTAACTCAGAAGCTGCTAATTAAGGAAATGGCATACTAACGGTGATGATTTAGATCCAATTTTAAGGAATTCACAATGGTCTTTACAAGAGCCAGTGCTATTCAAGGAGGAGCCCTTCAGAACACACCTTGACCACTGCAGAAGATCCCAGTGCAGCAGAATCCTCAAAAGGAGAAGAACTGTGCCCTGCAAGGCCAATTCTACGAAGATCCAACCCAGGAACTTCATCTCAAAGGGACTCACATAGGAATCAATGCCGAAGTTGTGTGTCAGGTCGTATTTGATCTGATTATAACAGAGTTCTATCAGTCCTTGGCCCAGGCAGAATTGAGGAAAAATAGTAAACGCCCACTTGAGGACACCATAGATGTTCTGTAAATTCTGTACAGCAAAAGAAAGAAAAAAAAATCAAAATTAAAAGCTATTTCACCTTTTATAACATATACCAATAACTTCTTTTTCTCCTCGGTTAGGAGAAAAAGGTTAGGACCTGTGTTCCATGTCTTCCCTGCCCCAACTATTCAATGACAGCTATCAAACCAAAGAGGATTATTCTTGAGATTTTAGATATAATGGTATTTGCCTTGCCAGGTTTTACTTGTTTGGGACCTGTTACCCCTTTATTTTCCTTCCGATTTCTTTTTTTTTTTGGAATGTGAATGTCTATCTGATGCCTGTCCCACCATTATATTTTGGAAGCACATATTTGATTTCACAGTTCATAGCTGAAGAGAAATTTGCCTCTGGATAAAATATGCCTTTGAGTCTCACCCACATCTGATTATGATGTTATTTAGATGACACTTTTAACTTTTGACTTTAGAGCTGATGCTGCAATGAATTAAGGCCTTTGGGCTATTGGGATGGAATGAATTCATTTTGCATGTAAGAAGGACATGAATCTTGCAGACTCCAGAACTAAATGTTATGGATTGAATATTTGTGTCCCCCCCAAATTCATATGTGGAGCCCTTAACCCCCAGTAGGATGGTATTAGGAGGCGGGGCCTTGGAGAGGTAGTTAGGTGTACATGAGATCATGAGGGTGGGGCACCCATGATGACACGATGAAATTAGTGCCTTTGCTAGAAAAGGAAGAGACACCAGAGCTCTCTCTCTTTCCACCATGTAAGGACACACTGAAAAGGCAGCTGTCTATAAGCGAGTAACAGAGCTCTCACTAATAACCAAATCTGAAATCACCTTGATCTTGGACTTCCCAGCCTCCGGAACTGTGGGGAATAAATGTCTGCTGTTTAATCCACCTAGTCTATGGCATTTTGTTATAGCAGCCTGAGAAGATTAAGGCGCATGGGTAGCATTAATAGTCACAAGGTGACGTATTTCAATGAGTCGATAACATTAGGAGCTGTGATTGTGAGCATTTAAATA